GCAGTAGCAGTAGCAGCAGCAGTCGTCGTGGTGGTGGTGGTAGTAGTAGTACTAGCATGTAATGGTACTTGTGAAAGCAGTGGTAGTCGTGGTGGTCGTGGTAGTGGTAGTGGTATCGCAGAGGCGGTCATCGTGCTGGCGGCGTCTGCTCGCGGCTTCCCTGTACTTTCCTATTTGCGCGTTTGTCATTGGTCTATGTTCCCAACCATCACTTGTTTGTTTACCCCTGTCTCTCTCTCTCTCTCCGCTTTCCCTGATTTACTGGCTGTCTCTATGTGTCTCTACCATACAGCTTCCGGCTTGAGCACCAATCTTCAAGTCCCAAGGCCAGCAGAATCCAGAGCAGAATCTAAGTTGAGCAGCTAGCCCACCACTGCATATCTTGGATTCCTCTGCAGACACACTAACTGCCCATGCAGCTACCAGTGCTTCTTCGAAGATGGCTGGACCAAGGTGTGGTACACTTGGCCGTGCACATCGCAGGTTCGGGCCCTCGGTCACTTTGGAAGGTAGTCGCATTTTTGTTCCATATGGGGGTTTCCGAAAATAGGGGACCTTAATATAGTACCCTAAACAGTAGGATCCTTATTATAAGGACCCCAACATAAAGTACCCTAATTGTCGGAAACTCCCATGTCCTGTCTCGATGAGAGCTGTGAGCCTGTATGAATGCCTTGCGGAGCCGGAGCCGGCATTAGGGGTGCAAGGGGCTCAGATTCAGATTTTCGTGGTTAGCACCTTTGGATTTTCGGTGTTTAGGCTGGGGTTTTCAAGTTCCAGAATTTTGGGTTCTGTCTGACACTCCCAGATCGGCGTTTTGACGAGACGTCACGTGACATCTCGCAAAAGGCTATTAATGAGAGTGAGAACCACTGATTCCAGGCTACTGCTATTATAGTTTGTTATAACATCTTACGCCCTAACGCCTAAACCCTAAGCAGATTTTGATACTCTATCAAAGTAGCTCCTCAAGACATTGCCTGTCAGGGAGTAGACTGTGCAAGCATGCCTCAACGGTTTGAATCCTCCAATTCACCACATGGTTCAAGAGTAGATTTTGCCGAATGGCCCATCCGAGTCAAGATTTCGGTATGCTTTTAGCTTGTGGTATACTATGATATTCATATGAGTATATAGTACCAAAATATAACATCACATAAGATACTGCAGAGAATTAGAGTTACATTATAATGTGCTATAGTAGTCTACCTGGCTACAGGATACTATAACATGCTATGACACTATGCACTATTTCTGGTATCAGAATCACCATTATACAAGATACTGTCGCATGCTGTAACATGGCAGTGATGCGGTGCCCGTTGTGTCGCATGGTTGTGAGACTCCACACCTCCCACCGTCCGAGCAACACCAGCATCAACACACCATCGATACCGACCAAGGGTGTTATAGTATCTTATGCTTTGGTAGATTGTGGTAATGTAGGTGCCTTAACAATTACAAATACTATTTTGGGGTGTTCCTTATTACATATATATATATATTTTTTTTTCTTCTGGGCCCCAAAGCCCTGTTCTAACTATTAAGACCCCCATGTTACTCTACTATGGTAATTCCTCAAGATCTTGCCTTTCAGAGTAGGTTAACTTCCTCACCGGTGGCGACCTGCTCGCCGGACACAGCCTCTATGAGTCCTTAACCAGACTTCCTAGGTCGAGCCTCCTTCAAAGCAAGAGTTCCACAGTACTAGTAGGGGCCTCAATAATTAGAATAGGGTTTTGGTATATCATCGTATTAGCTCTTCTTGAGCAACTCTGCTAGTACTCCTAGGAAGCGTTTAGGCTCCTATTATAAGTGCGGAGTGCGAGGCCACACTAGACCTGCAGCAGCTGCCATAAAGTTACAAACTCAATGTCCTCATACCTGAAAAGCTTCCTCTTACGTGCGCTAGAAGGAAACCCAGAACTAATCCTCCTTTTCCAGTTTCCAACCTTTTTTCGGGGATTTGAGGTGTGGAGACCTAATTTTTTTTGGAGAGATGCCACTTGCAGGGGCTGTGCCTAAACACCCGATTTCCTACATTCATGATCCTGGGTTTCGGATTTTAAATTTGAGTGGGAAAGAAACCCTAGGCCCCAAATCTGAAATTGGTCCTAAACTCGAAACCGCGCCAAGGCAGCTTCATCAAAGGCCGAAGTGCATCTTGCGGGGCTGTTAGTTGAAATAATGCTGGCTGGTAGGTTGCGGGATTCGGGGCTTCGGGCTTGTTTAGATTTTTGAGGCTTAATGTAGGGCCCTTAATAATTAGAATAGGGTCTTTGGGTTTTTCATACTATAAGCATAATAAGGAACCCCCAAAATTATATAGGTAATTATCCAGGCCCCTATAGTACAGCTTACGTTCTGATGCCATTGAGGTTGGGGCAGAAACAAGACTGAGGGAATCTCCGAGAGTCTGGAACCCCCGGAGCACAGTCCTTCTTCCAAGGAGACCTACATGGGTAGTTCTTTGAATTAGGGTCCCTTCTTAGGTCCCCAATACAGTACGGCACCCTTATAAAAAGGACGCCCAAAAGGGACCCTAATTTAGAGAACTACCCAAATAAGGTATCGTCCCTCGTCACATCGGTCGTCTTCACGAAGCCATGATTTTGCCTAACGGGAACATCGGACGGTTTCAAGACTGTCAGTGTTGTGGTGGTAGGGTTCGCGGTTTCGGCCCACCCCTGAATCAGCGTTGTGGTCTTGGCGCGGTGTCCGAACCTGCTTTCTTCTAACTTCGGCATGTCAAAGGACCTCAGCAACGTAGCACCGGGTTGCCTTCAAGACATCCACGCGTCTTTGCATTTTGCTAACAGGAAGGGTTAAGGGTTAAGGGTTTAGGGTTAACATGGACCCAATCCATACTACCTGTACAAGAGCAGCAGCATGCACAGCTGTAGCCATCCAACTTCCTGCCCACCCCATGAGAGTCCAAAGGGGATTTTGTTGCTGTGCTTTTCTTGATGGTGAAGATGATGGCGACCATGGCGATGGACACAATGGTGCACATCGTCGTTGCCACAATGACAATGATGATGATGATGATGATGATGATGATGACGCTGGTGGCGGCGGTAGTGGTGGTGGTGGTGGTGATGGTAATGATGACGGATTATGATGATGACGACGGTGCCCGTGAAGATGAGGATGAGGAAAATTACCACGGATAGCGACAAAGAAGACGAGCTTCAGGACGGGACAGGAGACCGCAAGGAGGACGAGGATCATGTTGTGGTTGTTGTTGCTATTGCTGAAGTTGTTAATGATGAGGCGGAGCAGGAGCATGCTCAGAAGCGGAATCTCAAAGCCATGACCCTAAACCCTAAACCCTAAACCCTAAACCCTAACCCTAAACCCTAAGCCCTAAGCCCTAAACCCTAAACCCTAAACCCTAAACCCTAAACCCTTTCCCATCTTTGCGATCCGCGAGGTCGGTCCGAGCCCACTCCTGCGGCTTGGTTCGACTTCGGGGGGCTTTCGAAAGCTAGGAGTCCGTTTCAGGGTTTAGGGTTTAGGGTTTAGGGTTTAGGGTTTGGGGTTTAGGGTTTGGGGTTTAGGGTTTAGGGTTTAGGGTTTAGGGTTTAGGGGGGTTTCAGAGTCGAACCAGGGGCCTACGATGCAGGGGCTATTGAGGCTTACTGCGGAGTTTTCGGGTTCAGGCTTTCGAGCGGGTTTCCTGTTGCTTCTCAAGAGACCTGATAGCAGCGCCAGCGTCCATGCAGATGCCAGGACTAGTTGCTGTAGGTGGGTGCCATCATGTTTCGCGAAGGCCCCTGCATCATCAAGCTACAGAAAGAGACCGGCCAAGCCCCATCCGGAAGGCCGAACCCGGCGGTCCACATTCAAGCCCCATGCCAAACCTCGTTCCCGAAGTCCTAGTGTCACAAAGCGAAGACGAGGCTTACGTTTCCTTCATTCTGGGAGATCCCGACATGCATGAGGGTCCCGGGCTCGGAACGGTTCGTCGGCAAAGAGGATGCTGCTCACGGAGGACCCTTATGGTGAGTAGACGTCCTCCGGCTGGCTTTGCCTTGGGTTTCTTGTGTCACTTCGACCGTTCGTGAGAATGTGCATGTTGATCCGACACAGACGATGGCGGCAGTTGACATTAGCGCTTCTTGCTCTTCCCAGAGTTCTTTCGGAAGAGCACGTCGCAAACAGCAGACAATCCCGTGCAAGCGAAATTTCGTTTACGCAGTGTTGGAAAAGGCTTGGCTCTGTGGTATCCAACCCCGGCGCTCTGCTCTCTGACCTCGCAGGTGGAAAGAGAAGGACCCTCAATGCAACAACCGAACGTACGGCTTCAAGGCCTAGCCGAGCCCCAAAACAACTTTGAGTTTTTGGGTTCGCCAAAATACAACAGTTTGCTAACCCCGAGCGTAAGGCTAAAATGCCAAGCGCGAAGGGTGCCAAAGTCGCCGTTATGAAGACCTGAATTAAGAAAAATCGTCGAGGCGTCCCTGTTGCGAAGTACGGTCAAGGGTTTGGGGTAATTTGCAGCCCAATTGTGCGGAGCCTTGCGTTGCTGAAGGTGTGAATGTCGCGGTGAAATCCATGACGAAGGGGGAGGCCTTCTCAGGGGGTTGGGTCTCTTATGCCTGATGTGATAGTCAGTGTCCCACGACTGTCCTCGTTTGTGCGGCCACCACCAGGTCACCACCATTCTTTCTGCCTCGACTCAAGATAATATTAATGTAGGGGCCTAAATAGTTACCTTTACTATTTTGGAGGTTCCTGACTACAAATATAGTATAATGGGCCCCAAAACCCTATTCTAATTATTTAGGCCCCTATATTAGTGACTTCGAATCCTCTGTCTGAAAAGCACAAGAATGCATCTAGAGCTCGTGTTAGCAAACGCCCGAAGCCCAGCTCATAAGCAACCTCAATCAGCGACGCTCGCAAAGACTAAACGGCCAGAACATGTAACCCAGATCCGAAAATCCTCCAGCCCCACAGCTCAAGACCCTGAAACCCAGAAACTTGGAGCTCATCACCCTAAACCCTAAACCCTAAACCCTAAACCCCAAACCCTAAACCCTAAATCCTGGAATCCTAAATGCACCATACGCCCCAACAGGCGCCTGAAGCCCTAAACCCCGAAGATCAAGACCCTAAATGTCCTGAACCCTGGAGTTGGCGTTTAGGGTGCAGGGTTTAGGGTTTAGGGACT